GCCAAAATTGTATAATTTTAATGGGTGTAAATGCAATTTTGTTACATGGCTATATTGCATAGCGGTGAAGTGTTTTTAGTATATCCTTCACCGGGATTATGTATATTGTACCCATTAAGTAATTTCTCATCACCTAATCTTCCCAGTTTCCAATGTCTATCATTTTACACTCTATGTCCATGTGTATACATTATTTAGCTCCCACTTATAAAAGAGAACATGTGGTATTTGGCTTTCTGTTTTTGAGTTTTCACTTAAGATAATGGCCTCCAGTTCCATCCAGGTTGCTGCAAAAGACATGATTTCATTATTTTTTATGGCTGAATAGTATACCATTGTGTATATATACCACATTTTCTTTATCCAGTCATCTGTTGATGACTACTTAGGTTGATTCCATGTCTTTTCTATTGTGAATAGTGCTGCGGTAAACATGAGTACAGGTACCTTTATGGTGTGATTTCTTTTCCTTTGGGTAGATACCCAGTAGTGGGATTGCTGGGTAGAATGATAGGTCTATTTTTAGTTCTTTGAGAAATCTCCATCCTGTTTTCAATAGAAGTTATATTATAATTTATGTCCCCACCAACAGTGTATAAGCATTCTCTTTAATCTGAAGCCTTGCCAACATCTGTTATTGTTTGGCTTTTTAATGATAGCCAGTCTGGCTGGGTACAGTGGCTCATGCCTGTAATCCCAACATTTTGGGACACCGAAACAGGAAGATCGCTTGAGGCCAGGAGTTCGAGACTGCAGTGAGCTATGATCTTGCCAGTGCATTCTAGCCTGGGTGACAGAGCAAGACCCTGTCTCAGAAAAAAAAAAAGCCATTATGACTGGTGTAAGATGATATCTCATTGTGGTTTTAATTTGCATTTTTCTGATTAATGATGTTGAGCGTTTTTTCATATGCTTGTTGGCCATTTGTCCTCTTTTGAAAAATGTCTGTTCTTGTCCTTTGCTCACTTTTTAATGTTTTTTTGTTGTTGTTGAGTTGTTTGATTTCCTTGTAAATTCTGGATATTAGTCCCCTGTTGGTGCGTAGTTTGCAAATATTTTCTCCCATTCTGCAGGTTGTCTAATGTCTTAAAATTTAAAGTGCTATGTAAGGCCTGTGAAGAAAGAGCTCTAATTAAACTTAGGAGCCTCCTTGCCTTTGGCTGCCTAGTTTTGGGGTTAGAAAGTTAGGGAAACTGGCTGTTCTACTTAAACAGTCAAGAATAGATAAACTTTGCCCCTGGTGACTATCCAATCATTTGGTCACTCAGTATTGAAGACCTATAAGTGCCAAGCCCATAGAAACTAGGAGCTTGCCCTAGTGTTGTTACCAAGAAGGAAACAGGCATGATGCATACTATGATAAGGGAAATAAAGGGTGTGCTATAGGCCAGAGGGCTGCATAGCTAAGGGATTGCTTCCTAGGGAAAGTGACATCTGAGCTGGGGGCAAGTGCATCCTGTCGCGGCTAGAAAAGAGTATTCTGACAAGGGCACCTGCATGAGGCCAAACACATGAAGGCAGCTAGTCTGTTGGAAGCCTGAATTGCAAGGGGGGAAGATTAAGACACTCAGCCATGTAATGCAGGGGTTTTTGTTAAAGAGTTTGGACTCATCTGGAGAGTAGTGGGGAAGATAATGAAGGATTTAAATAGGTATGAAATGATTGTTTTTTGCAAAGAGCAAGTCCTTTGGGGAAAGATTAGAGAGGAGCAGTTGAAGTTTAGATGGTGGCCACCTGGATTTGGATGGGGATGGAGAGAAGTGGTTGGAAGATTCAGGGCACACCTACCAAGTGTTGGGGAAGAGTTGGCATGGGTCTGGGTTAATACTCAGGTTTTCAATAGATGGTGGGGGCTTTAGCTGAGAGAGGAAACCTAAAAGGAATTTCAGATATATTGGGGGCAAGGAGAAATGTGTGGTTAGTTCAGTTTGGAAATAAACATGGAGTTTGTGGTGCCAGTTGGAGAAGTCGAACAGATGTGCTGGTCAGGGATTCAAGTAAGAGGGAAGAGATTTGGGAAACATCAGCCTAGGTTAGTCGAAGCCAGGAGAGGGTATGAGGCTGTCCAGGGGAGAAAGAGGCTATAGCAGACCCCTCAGGGTGAAATAGAGGAGGAGAGAGCCTTGGAAAGAAACTGAGATGGAGCAGCCCAAGAAAGAAAAAGTAAACCAGAACATCTGGCCTCAGTGAACAGACCTGCTTGCTTGCTTGCATTGATTCTTTTTTTTTATTTTTTTAAAGAGATGGGGCAGCACTATGTTGCCCAGTCTGCTGTACTCCTGGGCTCAAGTGATTCTTCCAGCCCTCAGCCTTCTCCTGGGTTACTGGGATTACAGGCCCGTGCCACCACACCCAGTTTATTCTTTTTTTTTGACTTGCTTCACCCATCTTTCATTTTTCCTGTTTGGTTTCTTTTTCCTGTAACCTTCTTCCTCATGCACCAGGTCTACCTACAACCCCTAAAGAGTTAGCTTCTTGAGGAACTGTGGCTTATTTATTTTTGTACTCAGGGTACCGGGTGTGGAATGTGCTTAACAACTACAGGGTGAACTGAACCCACAGGCATTCCTTTCCTTCTGTTAGTCAAGAAGTCCAGAGAAGTTGCCATCCCTTATTAGAGGTTGTCAGTCTCAGGAAACAAGTGACTTTATATAGCTATGGGTATGAGCCTGATTTTTTAACAGGAAAGCAGAGTGCTTTGAGAGGAAACAAGCATAGTCCCTAGAAAACATTTTGCCCGTGGAGAGACTATTCCACCATCTCCAACATTTAACAACAGTCATGGTTAGAAAGTTCGTATAGCAAACTTTTTCTCAGAAGCTCTGCTCTGGCAGCATGTAAACAGATGGCCCAGGCATCAGGCCTAATCTTACCAAATGACTGTTCAGAAATAATCTGAGTGGGGTAACACCTGTTTCTAGTTTGTGTGCATATAGCATGTCTGATTCATACCAAGAAATATTTTGGTATGTTGGTTTCTTTCACTGTTCTCCCACCGAGCAAACCTGGAATTATCATAGTGTGTAGATTTGGCTGATAAGCTTTGCTACTGCCCAAATTGGGGGGAAACAATCTTTACTCTTCCTAATTGAATACTGTTTACTTCAACAATGACAATTGTAAGGACTACATACAATAATACCATTATAAAGCTATACCCAGGGGCTTCAACTATGTCAGTAATATTAAGCTGGGTGTGTGGGTATATGATTTTGGTTTTTCTTTTTTTTTAGCCTTTATAGTTTTACAAATGCCTGAGATTTAATACTAAAGAAATTAAAAACAAAGGTGCATATACTTCATATCCAATTTAGTTAACTTAGCTTTCTAACTTTTTTCTAAATTCACTATTCAAACTGCAGAAAGTGACTTTTAAAAATGGGAAAATGAATTATTTTGGGAAAATACTGTGGTTTGTTATAGCAATAGCCTCTCAAAGCTGTTGAAATTCTCTGCCTGTTATTCATTCTGAGTTTCAAAATATTTTTTCAAGAGAGGCTGCGAAAGTCTTTGTGGAATTTAAGGGAAATTAGAAAAGTTTCTCTCCAATTTTGAAAAGATATTGTAGAGATTTAAAGGAGGTGGCGAGACAAGGGGGTATTAGCTGGACATGGTCACTCTCATGGGGTAGTATCACCTCGGTGGAATCAGTGAAGTCTAGAGTCCAGTGATCAGGCTTAAAAACCTGATGT